GACCTTTGACAATTTTAGAAGCGAGTGTTGGCACATAGATACCGGCATATGATTCTCCTGAGATAAAGAATGGATTTGACTGAAACTCTGGAAACATCTTAAACCACTGTTGAACATTAATGGATTTAGTGGTTAATGCTCTGAATCAAACATACAAGTACAACACAAAGAAAGTTGTTTGCAAATCAATTAAATTCTTATTTAACCTTTATGAGGAATGCGTGAGAATCAGATGCAGTTTTTGTATCACTAGTTGTATAGTCAGACTTGTCCTTCGAGTAAGAGTATCCCACACCAACTGGGGAGTCAAGGTATATAATGTTAGAAACCTGACCCATAAAAAAAAATACATTTCAAAAGATTAAAAAATTTATCATAGAAAGAAGAAGAAAATATGTTATGTTTATATAAGTCTTTCTTTCACCTTAGACCAACTATAACGATTGGGGTGCAAACGAGGGTTGTTTGTCTTCGTTCGTTCGAAATTGAAAGGACCTGCAATTGTATTGAATTAGATGATATGTGCATGTATATTATTCTTATTCTTTAAAATTGAGATAACTTTTGGGTTGAAATTAAACAAATATTGAAATGTGTAAAACCCGAATATTTTTGCTACATACTTAAGGCGTATATTATTCTGAGCTTAGCGCAAAATTTGACACATGAAAGGTTAATTATTCAGAGCTTACCGTGCTCGTAAACAAATCCATCCATACTAGAGCAACCTGGACCACCATTAAGCCAAAGCACAATAGGATCTTTTGAAGCATTTCTCTCTGATTCCACAAAGTAATACCAGAAATTCTTACGACCCTCCTTATCAATTGCTACATACCTTAGATCACACACCAAATTCCAGTGAAAATGTGTTTAAAATCTATAGGAAAAAATTATAGAATTAAACTACATGATATATGAGATTTTGGTAAAATGTAAGCACATATATTAAATTTACCCAGCATAGTGTTTAGATGAAAATTTGTTGTTGAAGCCAGGAAGTTTGGTGATGAGAGCAGATTGAGGGGCTGAATCTGTTATTGCAAAACTCAAAGACAACAAAATCAAAGAAACAAAAAGTTCCACTAACCAACCCATTTTGATAAAGAACAGAAGTCCACAATTACAACCGAGAACTCTTTATTATAAGAATTGCTTTTAAGATCATACCAAAGCAAAGAAAAAAAATACTAGCTAGGTATGGAAAAAAATCTAGAGATATTAATGAAATTTGTTTGATTTGGCATTAAACGAAAGACAAATTAAAATAAGAAAATGTTAGGTAAAAATAAGAAGAGAGTCAATGTATAATCAAAAATAAATTTTTAAATATAATACTAAAAACAAAAAAAAATAAACATAAAGAATACAAATTAATAAAGAGAAAATAATTTTGCTAATACCAAAAAGATAATGTTAGATAATATGATCTAAAGAAATATTTTATGTCCTAATATTTTGAAATTAATTTTATTTCTATATTTAGATTAAAATACCATGATTAAAAATATTAAATTCATACAATGTTTTTCTCAAATATTTCTGTTATATTATTGTACGAACAATAGTTTAATTTTTTTTTTTACATTTTTTTTGACTAAAGTATTTTTAATATTATACTGGTTAATATTATACATAAATATCTTATAGATTTTTTTTTAAATTAATGTTTATTTACTGAAAAATATTAATAATGCATAAAAGAAAATAAATAGAAAATGATACAAAAAATGCCACTTTTTATGTGCACATTTGCAAAAATGCCACTTAGGGGTGTTCATTTGCAAAAATACCACTAATTATAGATTTTTAAATCATATATCTTAAAATTCTAAACACTAAAAAAATATTTTGACCCCCTAAACCCTCATAACTAAACCCTAATAGAACATAATTAACCCAAACATAAATAATATAAAGAAAAAATAATTTTTAAAAAGTGACATTTTTGTAAAGATTTCAAAAGTGTGGCATTTTTTGAAATTTTTTATGATACAAATTATATCCGCATTAAAAAAAAAATTTCAAATAAATTTCTAAACTTTTAATGAATGAACATATTGGATTTTAATTTTCAAATAACTTATAGTTAAAACACATGTGGTTACTTATAGTTAAAACATATGTGGTTACAAAAGAGATTAAACAACTGATATATCGATATAGTGATCCTAAGTGTAATTTATAGAATATGAATTATGCTTATGCATAGAAAATTTGTTTGTGCTTATTGTTTAAATAACACTAGATAGTTAATCCGCATTATACGCGTAATAATGTGATACGCGAGTTATTGGAAAAATTATTATCCGAATTATAAAACTCGTTTATATATATATGAATCTTGCAATTATTTTGTATACAAATGTATCTCACCCGTGAAATAATTAAAAACAACAAATTTTTACGTGTTTGTCAATATATATCACTTATTAATAAAATATATTTATTTAATATTATAATCTTTAAAAATACGGTTTATGACTCAAATATACAAAATAAAATATTACAAATATGAATTGAATTTATAGGTTTAAGGTAATTATAAGAGTAAGTGAATATTTATAGTAAACTTTCTTTTATTTTCGTTTTTATAAAAAAATATTTTCTAATGATGTTTGGTTGGAAGAATTGTGTGATTGTGTAGTGTTTGGATAATAAGATAGTAGAGAACTGATAGGATTGTAGAGTGTTTGGGTAATACTATAGTAGATAATTAATAATAAGTTTTAATTTTTAATTAAAAATTTCAAAAATTTGAGAGTTTGACACCTAAACAAATTTGAGAACTTGACATCCAAAAATATTTTTCCTTTAATATATAAAGGGTATCTCTCGAACCTTTATTTCATATCTTTATTGGCTGATATTGTTTCACGGGGGATGGTCCTACCTTCAGTTTATCGAGATCTTGTTTCACCGGGGAGGGTCCTACCTTCACTTTATAGATTCATTAGTCTAATTCACCATCTTCTTGACATACTCTTAATTTATTATTATTTTTTTGGTTAACAAGTTTTCTTCATTCATTCTACCGATACAAGTACAAAAGTACAAAAAGAGAGAATTAAACATCCTCAAGAATTACTAAAACATAATTGAGAAACAATAAAGTATAAAGCAGATAGATCATTGCAAATGATGGACAGCGAATCCAGAGCATGTCTCGGATGCGTCAAGAAGGTCTTCGCGGCATGGCCGGAGAGTCTCAGGTTAGTCACTTTACCATGTGACTTTGAAGTTCCAGGCATAAAGCATGGGGCTTCGACCACTCTCCATGAGAGGGAAGAAGATACGACCATGCTCAAAGAGATGGAAGAAGATGGAATTGAACTCTTCCACCGGGAGTAAATTACAGGATTTGAGAATCCAGAAAACTTTGATCTTCTCTCAACAAAGAAGATATCGAGCTCGCAAATTACTGGATTTGAGAATCCAGAAAACTTTTGCCCTATCATACGTGAAGATATGAATCTCGACGATTGATGGAATGAAGCACATTAAAGGCGAATTGGTCTCTCCAGTCTCGATTTGGAGAACAAAGATTTTAACGAACTCTGTAACAATTTGCCTAAATCGACAATAAAGGCAGTACCACTTTGCACGGATAAATCGTGAACTTTGCAAAGGAGGAATTTGGTTTTACGGCCATCAAAAACTACAACCTCTGCCAGATGTGATTGTGCAATAATCGTGGTATATGGATTGCAATATGAGCTATAAATCCATACTTTTGGAATATTAGAGAGAGCCCGACCCATCAAGGGAAACTGTTTGGATAGGCCTCGACATGGGCTTTTGAAGAGCTTTCGTCGGCCCACCACATCTAACCCATCATGGGTAAAGCCCACTGGGCCCACTAAAAGAGAGGTGGCGACGGGTGGGAAATCAGACTTTGCGGCACGAGATTTCTTGATCTTAGGAGAAACGACGATGAGGGACAGTGATAGGATCTGCGGAGAAGATATGAAGCCAAAGACAGGGACCGCAGCGGCGGGTCAGGCGGGATTGGTGGATCTGGAGGCTCCATCGGTTTTGAGAATTCCAGCTTAGCCGGCAAGACCAACCTCCGGTAAAGAATTCCGGTTAGCTCCCTAGCAGTTGGTGACGAAAGGGATAATAGCACTAACCTTGTTACAGCTCTGCGAGCCACAGAACAGTTCGAAGGGGCCGAGGGACGAGACACAACGACAGCAACATCTCCGACAGAGGGAGGCGAGGAAACGCCAATCTTTTGGAGCACTTCGTGACGTCCAAGAGGAGGAGAAGCGGTGCTACGAGAAGATGGGAGGATCTGGACGGCGGAGCATCGGCGGAGGTGATGCATCTGTTGTTGCCGGCAGCTCCTTGGAGAGTGTGTTCGAGAGAGAATAGGGCGAAATGATCCCGTTCAAAAAAAAAGGAGGGATGCAACACGAGG